TTGCAATCATTTCAATTATATTAACCTTATCATCATCATTATTCTCATCAAAAGATTTCAAGTTCTCTGTCATATTTAATAATTCTTTATTTAACCTTAGAATGTTTGAGTATGATAATAAATTTATTTTTGTTGATTCATTTAAAACTTTTAATCCATCAAAAACATGTAGAAAAGGTGTTTTTAAATAAACTGATGCCAAATGAGTTATCAATGCAATATCGTGGGCTTCTTGAATTGAATATGAATTAATTATACCAAATCCAGTTTCGTGTGCAATTAGCAAATTATGATAATTCACATAATAATTCATCTGATCATCATTATCTAATGCTGATACGTGAATCACAAATGGTATTTTTTCATCAACGATCCCATAGAAATTTGGTATCATAGGGATGATAGATTGAGATGATGCAAATGCTGAAATTCTTTTGACATTTGACGCAGCACCAAAAACCATGGTAGATGCACCAAAACGAGTATCAGCCTTTATTACGTGATTAATTTCTCCAAATGCATTATTGAGTGATTGTGAAGACCAATATAAACTTAATTCACCAAGGTAGTATGATCTTGTAGCTGGATAAATAAAAATAGAGCTAGTTAAAGCATAAGCTACATGTTCTATAGCTGCACTACCATTCACAAGTTTCAATCCACCACCTTCATGAGCATTAATTTCAATGCCTATTTTTGATTTCAATGATAAAATTGATTTTGAAATTGAAATCAAATCATTATCATTGGACTCATTTGTTCCAATTAATTTTTTAATTTCAGGTTCTGATAATTGAGCAAGTTGATCAAGTGATAATTTATCAGCAATTTTTCTAAGTGTTGATATATTTGCTGTACCAACAAGTTGCTTTAATAAAGCAGCATTTCCGATAGCATTTGAAATATTTTTTGGTATATTTTCAATTATATGTTGTCTAAGCTTTTGAGCCACGTGAGGCACAGTGCCATTTGTTGAAATAGCTACTTGTAAATTTCCATCACGATATGTTGGCATAAACCAGAAATCACAGAGTTGTGGTAATTCAGCAACATTAATTGGTATTTTTTGTTCACGAGCAGTTGCAGCTATTTTTTCAGATAATTTTAAATCATTATCAATAGACACTAATATCAAATCAATCTTTTCAGTGGTCAAATCATCTACATGAAACTCTTTATTTTTATATATAACCAAATCATCATTAATATAGTTGGTTATTTTATTAGAAGTGATCTTTTGCTTGGGAGAGATCAAGGTGATTTTTTCAGGTTCGGTGTCTAAAATAAATTCTATTCTGTTTGCAATGATATGATTCCCGCCTATAATAAGTACGTGGCGACCTTTTAAACGCCATCCTATTATTAATGAATTGGTTGATGACATTTTTAATTCTGATGATTTTTTATGTATTTTTCAGAAAAATATAATTTGAGTAAAAATTTTTATTTTTCAGAAAAATAATTTTTTGAATCTAATTTTTTTTTTTTATAAGACGGATTTTGTTCTGTCAAATAAATGACAGTCTTTTGACGTTGTCTGAAATAATTCTAATTTAAGTATTTTTAATTAAAATAAAAATATCTCTCATCTGATAGGCTCAAGTTGGATTGGTTGATTTGTAAGCGTCAAAAATAATGAATACTATATTGGTATCGTGTTACAAAATTGCAATCGGTCAATATTGCATAGTGATATAGTGATAGATGAACTTTTAAATGGAATAGGCACATGATTCATAGTATCTATGAATATTCCAAAATCTCATAGTTTTTAAATAAATGATCATCCATTTTACAAGTTATTAAATAATGAATTTATTTTAATTATTTAAAATGTGTTCTTTTTTTGAATGAATTGAATGAAAGGAAATAAATACTTTTAAAATTTTTTTTGGTGTAATGTATTCACAAATTATTTTATATTGCATAGTGTATATATATATAGTCTAAATTTTTATCTATTTATTACTGATATTACAATTCTATTAACTTGATAAGGAAACCAAAGACCACATATACAAAGGAATTATTAGATTATCGTTTTGATGTGATGCTGCTTCCAAAAGAGCTAATAAATAAAAATTAGTAATAAATATAATCCTCATTATCACAATATAATTAATAATGTAAAAGACAAGAAAAAGAAAACTTACCACTCAATGATACTTTTATTGTATAAGTAGTCCACTAAAAAAATATAGCTATTCAGAAAAATATAATTAATTGTAAAATCAAAATCACGAGTATTGTATACTTACATTTTCATTCTTTGGCCACATATTATCAGCCATCCAAAATTTTGATAAAACAAATACACCCAATAATTGAAAAAAAATGAATGCAACGAATCCTTCAACTGTTTTAGATGTGCCTGGCCATTTATGACAACCATACCTTCTACCAATCACTGAAGCCTATATTATAATTATCATGATTATTATAATACAATTGGTAAGTATTTATAATATAAATATTTATTTAGAAATTACCATAGAATCTCCAAGGCCTAACGTCAATATACCCGAAAGATTTGCAAGGATTGAATTCCTAAACAGGTTATTTTTAAAAAAAAATTAATAATAAAAAATTAAAATTACAAATAATAATAATAATAAAAATCCATGCAATTCCAATTTACAACTAACCCTTTTAACCAAATACATCCAGCGCATCCTATCAATAAATACAAATGACTTGTTATTATTGGTCCTGAGTCACGTTGATCCAAGAATTCATTTAGAAATAAATGTAATTGTTTTCCAAATGGATAAACAGCAAAGTATCTTAAATATTCTAGAAAGATAAGAGCTGCAAACGCAACACTAAATGCCAAGTGCATAAATTTGGGCTTATTTAAAAAAATGTTTATAGTAGATTTAGAATTATCAATTTAATTTTATAATGATATATTAATTTATTAAATGATACAATATATGTAATACCTCATATAAACATCCAGGAATAAACATGATCATAGCCAAACCATGAAAATATTTTCTTTTTGTGTTCAATGAAACTGTTTTCCGATAACTGGACAATTGTAAAAATAATATAAGTGATATGGTAATAGCTGTTATCCAGTATATACACAAAAAGATTCTATGATTTGATTCCAACGTAAAGTAGATTGTCCTTGTACAATAATAATTATTATGGACATAATATAATCATGTATTAATAATAATAATAATTTTCCAAACAATAACATAATAATAATTATTACCATGCAAAGGGATCTTCTAACAAAAAAATTTGTAACCATTTTCCTATCAGGAATACCATAATCAATGTACCACAATATATTAAAATTGCTACCCATTTCTTTTTGTTTTCTATATTTTCAACACATTTTTTCTTCCATTTAGGTATTTGTGCTAAGTATCGAGAATGTAATAACAAACTTGATAAAGTAAATCCGATCAAAAACATTCCAAGAATAAGTGCTAATTGAAAAATGGTCATTTCTGATGGTACATGACTTCTAAAAGGTGGTAAATCAATCAATTCAAACTATTGTAATTATTGTATATGTTAGATAATGCACTATATATGTGAATGTTTGGTAAAATTATATTAAAAAACTGAAACCTTATTTATTGTCACAATAAATGATTCAATTATCAACAATGTAATTGCTTGTGCCACTACTGCCATCTCTCCGAATGTGAAACATCTTTTTAAAAATTTCGTAATGGTATATAATACTGCATGGAAAATAATCAGTGAAAATATAATTGATTGCCAAGGTAACACTTTTTTTAAATATAATTTCATTCCAAAATATTTAGATAAATAAGAATTTGTTTATTTATTTGTTATATTTGAAAAAACAAATGTTGGAAGGAAAAAAAGGAAAGGTGAACTTACATGTTAATTTTGGTAAAAGGCCAACAAATTTAATAATAGTTGCATGCAAAGTTGATAATCCAGTAGTAATCAAGAAGCACCGAATAGATCCAAAATCTTTACAAGTAAGATGTTTAGATAAAAACATATGTATCACAATACTAGATCCCATTATTATACAAAATTCATAATTGGCTTGAATAAATTCTATAAAATTTATTATTATTATTATATTTTTATAATAATAATAATAATAATAGTAATAACACAATAATATTATTTACATACCAATATTAGAATTATCACCAAAAAAAGATTCTATATTGCGAGTTTCTATCATCTTTACAGCCGCTACAATTGGAATTAATAATGCACCATAAAAGGCACCATCATCAACATCATTTCTACCATTATTATCATCATAAAAATTAAATCCTCATTCAATATTATAATTACTTTCATAATTGTATATTTATTGAATTGAAAATTCAAACCTATAACATTTTTCATCAGTCCCCCATAATTTATGTGAAATCTTCTCATCCTTATTTGAAACAGGAGATCCAATCGAATGTGTGCACCAAGTCCATATTGATAAGATTATCAAATCTAATAAATGTTATAAAAAGTAGTGATTGACTTTATTGAACATTATTATTAATATTTAAAAAATAATCATACTTGAAAATACTCTTTTCATTAATGAAGAATTTGTCACATACTTAAACCTTCGATTTTTCCAATTTCACTGGTTGCAAATGCTCTAATCAGTCTGGTATAAACGTATAATGCAGTACCAAATATTATACAACGTTCAGTGATATTTGCAGACATTTTTAATATCAACGTGATTGTGTGTACAAGCCTTGTTACGCAAGAGCAAAAATAGTATGTTAGTTTTTTTTGACCATTTATTTGAAAATCTTGTTTCAAAGTCGCGTCAAATGAAATCCAGGGTCTAAAATCGGGTCTTAAAAAGGAGGGTAAATTATATTGCATGGTAAATCCATCCATATTTTCATATTTTGGATTGATGATCAATTAATTTTAAAGAATAATTTCAAAATTACAAAAATGAGTGATTTTGAAAACACATCTTTAATTTCTTTTATTTGGAATGTTTTCACACAAGGGTCAGAAAGTATTCTGCATATGCTTAATAATCCTAATGTTCTGAATTATAATGGAGAAATGCACGGATACCAACCAAATTTATGGAATTTCTTATATTCTCCTCATTTATTATTAGCAGTTTTTATTGCAAGTTGAACTTAATATTTTTCATAATTTGCACTTGAAAGATTGATTATAATTGCTGAATTGCTTACTAATCAATATTATGATTTCGATTTCTTTTAGAATGCGATAATTAATAGAATCAATGCCATTGTTGCACCTCAAAATCCTAGACCTTTAAAATTTAAAATTCGTTTATTAATCAGATTACCATTCTTTTACTGCTTGGTTAAATCATTACTTGTTTTATTGGCAAGAATTTCAATGGAAATTTCAACCCTACAATCTTTTTTATTTCAATGGATTTTGGATCTTGGCAATGATTGTACTGATCAACAAGCACTTTGGTTGACTTTAAAAACTTTTTCGGCTGTTTATATTATGAAGGCATTCCATAGTAATCTTGAAGATAGAATGTAAGCAATCCACTATTAAACAACAAACTGTCTATTTTTTGTTAGTTTATTAAGATTTGGGTAACAAAAAAAAAATTTTTTTTTAATTAGATTGCCAAGTAGAGAACAGGGCACATCGTTATATGAAGATGCACTATTATTTCATATATTTTGTGACATTTCTTCTGGAAAATCCAATATAGATTTACTTTTAATAGCATTTTTTGGAGTATTGGATATGTTTTTATTAGAAATCTTGTATCTTCATCCATCAGGTCCTCAATACCGATTTATAACTACTACGATTGTTGGAATATCTGGACTTGGTAAGTTATTGATATTGATATTGATTGTATTTAAATAATTTTTTGTAGAGTTACTAATTATTTATATATATACTAAGATCATACATAAATACTTTATATCTATCTATCTTTTACATTTATAGCTCATTATACAAATGCATTGTTTTATAGACCAGATGCATATCCTATTGTTCAAAGTTTTGCACGTTTTCCTGAGCTTGTCTTGACAATTTTAATAATTGTTTGTTCATTGATTCATATAATGGCATATATTGTTACAGGTGGAAATGTTAGGAGGAGATTTTTCATAGATTACACATCATTGCCATCATTGAGTGAAGACTACACAACAGAATTATATAGAATTGGTACTATTATTATCGAGATGAATCGTGTTGAAGGATTTCGTAATGAACTACCTCCAATTTTTTTACCTTCTAGTACATATCTGGAAAGACCAAAAAATACAAGACAAAATAATTCTATGGGACAAATAAACACTTTGAGACCGGCATGTGGATTTGATAATCTACAAGATAACAATTCATCAGACTCATCGGAACTTTATATCCATGCTCTTATACGTAGACTACATACCTGGACAAATTTTTCCATACAGGCTATGGCATTACTTCTGGAAGTCATATTACGAATCGCAAATTGGATAAAATCATTTGCTATCCAAGCTGAAATAGGATCTCAGCAAGCCGAGGATCTAGATCAGGATGAGGGTTTAGATTGGGACGAAGAAGTATATGAAAGTTTTCTCCAAGGAAAATTTGAGGAGGGGAATGAAGACGAGGATGGTGATGAGGATGATGATGATTATAAAGTTAACAATGAAATTTATTCAACGGAAACATCAGAAGATGATGTTGACAATGATGATAAGGAAACAACAGAGATAGACAGTATTTTTCATGAATTGTTTTTATTAGATGGCGATTTAAAAGAATATTATTCTTCGCAACAATCATCATCATCATCATCATCATCATCATCAATAACGAATCCAATTACACAATATACTTTTGCACACTTTTCACATCCCAATATTTTAACTCGTAATCAATGTCAAAAATCCACGACTATTAACGATGATAATCTATTATTGTCATCATCACTATCATCAGAATCTTCTGAAATATATGCCAGCTCATCATCAACGAATATAAAAACACCTGTATTAGATGTAGAGTTTCATCCACATTTATCTGATACTTATTGTGTTGTTTGCCTGGTAGAACCAAGAGTTTGTGTACTTAAACCCTGTGGCTGCTTTTCAATATGCGAGACGGTAAGTGTATATATATATTGTATTTAACTTCCTTAATAAAAAAGTCAAGTTATTTATGATAATTGTATTTTTTTTTTAATTAGTGTCGTGAAATGATGGCTCAACGTAATACAAAGTAAGTAATAGTAGATTTGACTGTACTATAACATTAATGATTTATTCTTGTTTTATCAATCTTATTAAATCACACGCATGTATATTTCTTTATAAAGATTATGTCCGTGTTGTAGACGAGCAGTGGAGGGTTATTCGCGCGTATACGTTCCATAAATCCTTCTCTTTCTCCGCACAGAGAATTACCATTTTAATAAAGAGTTATTGATTGTATTGAGGATTTTTTAAAAGGCATATAAAAAATCATGATAAATCTAAATATCAATTGGAGACTCTATCTATTATTAGTTTACTATGATTGTTTTCTAACACTCAATAATCAATCATAAAGGCATTATTTATCTACTTGCATAAATAAATGAGTTTATATGTGTGTGTAATAATAATAAGATTGTAATATAAAGGAAAAAAAATCAGTAATTAATGCTTGACATTAATAATAAAAGATGAATTTTGTAAATACTCGATTAGAAATTATTATATTTTAACAAACCTTGTTATAATAATAATGAACTTGATGTTAAAAATTCGTTATAACACGTATTTAATTACGTTACATTCATTATAACGAACAATTATTGTAAAATGAGAAAGTCCCACTTAGAAAACTCGCGCAAGATAATTCTATTTATGGTCATATTTCCAAAGTGGAATTTAATATAGATAGACTTCTATTAATAATGAAGTTGCCATTGATTTCAGTCATAACATCCAAATTTGTTAATGATCTATATATTCAAGGTCGTACCCACTAATCAATTAAATTTAATATCGGATATCGCTTGTGAATGATTAAAACATTCAGATATTCATTGATCATTAAATTAATATGATTATTCATTGATTATTCAGTGAATATTTATTGTTAACAAAAAATTTTAAATTTCAAAAAAAACAATATTTTCAAATAAAAGTGGATTAAGTTTTGTTCTTTTTGAGGTCATTGTATTTCTAATAAGAGTATAATATAGTTAGATATAGTAGATTCACCATCAGAAGCTTCAGAGACATTAACTCGACAAATAGCTCCTTTAGATTTTTCTCCATCATTTTTTACAATTTCAGTCAGTTTCTTCGACATCTTTACTTTTCTTTCTTCGAAACATGAACAACAGAAGACTCCTTTCTCATTATTGTATTGTTACTTTCACCTATTATAGTGATTTCTTCCATTTTAAGTGAAATAGTTAATTTTAATTTGGTCAATCAATTAATGAAAAAATCAAATATCCAAGTTAACCGGTGAATATTATTCATTGGATGCAGCCTCTACTGCTAACTAATGGATAAATAGCGTTAACCTGCTTGACAAGTTTCTTTGTCACGTAATTTATTTGTTTTAATTGGTGGATCTCAACAGCCAATGATTGGATTTTTATCTATCTATACACTACGATTGGCTGATTAGAACCTTCCAAATTTGATAATAGATAAGAACTGACCAGCTACGGCAATAACCTACTGTAGTTTTTAGGGTCCTTTCTTACCACACCCACCTCAGATATTATAGACCAGTAACAAAAAATCATGGATTTGACCCACACAGTGATTGGTAGTTAGTTTTTCACATATCATTATATAGTTTTCGGGGTCCTGGTTTGTATAAATCAGTCACAGGACATGTCACGCAGATCAATAGGGAGTTGTAAAACATAGTAAATTTTTGATGATCTGCATCATAGTAAAATTCGAATTTACATAGTAAAATTTTACAATCAAGTGACTTCTAATCCCCATTTAATACCCTTGCTGTGTAGCAGCCACCGCCAAATTTGATATATAACTTCTTTATCATATGTATCTGCTTTAAGAAAATTTTTAAAGCAGGTTGTTAATAAAACCGAAAATAATCTG